TGTTTTGAACTTCCCGTGATCTTTTACTGGGAGATTTTCTTCCTTTACCTTCTTCCATATTGATGGCCGTGTTTCTGTGTGTAACACATCTTTAAGCATCTTTTGCAGGGCTGGATGAGTGGTGACAAATTGGATGATACTTGGATGTCTCTTTCCGTCTCCAAACCCGGGACGTTTTCTGCTGGTATCTCACTAAAAAGGCCTTCTAGTCCTTTTGCTCTCTCCATGCCTTCAGGAACTCCTAGAAGCCAAATGCTGGGTTTTTAATAGTATCCTGTAGATTCCTGACAATATTTTTTAGATTTTTAATTTCCTTTTCTTGGGTTTGACTGTATAATCTCCTGTGCTCTGTTTTCTCAGTCCTATATCTCTCTTCTGCCTCAGTGATTCTGTTTTTCAGGCTCTGAATCGTGTTTTTCATTTGTTCTATTGAATTCTTCATTTCATTTTGATTTCTCTTCAATATCTCAATTTCACGTTCTAATAAATTTCTCATTTCATTTAGATTCCTCCTTAAGATTTCATTTTCATGAGAGAATTTTCTGTCCTGTCCTGTTTGGATTTCTGAGTTCATGCATTTGTTTTTGATTACTTCTAAGTGTTCTTATCATAATATTTTTAAATCCATATCTTGCATTTCTTCTATCTCATCATCATAATCTTGTATTGTAGTTTCATGTTCATTTGGGAGTGTCATATTGTCCTCCTTCTTGTTTCCTTGATTTCTGAGTTTGTTGTTTGGCATTGTGGAGATATTCTTTAGTTTCTTCTTTTTTTCTCACTCTGGTAGCTTTTCTTGCTATACAATAACTCTAGATTAAGTGTACTGTCTGCTTTTGGTGAATTTCTAGAGGTTTATAGTAGGTGTGGCTGGAGAGCTCTGTTCAGTTCTTCAGAGTTAAGGGTGTGCTAAATGTGACATACCCAGGTTTGGCATGGTAAATCTCCTCTCCCTCTGTCTTTTTTTTTTATTCAGAAGGGAAGTAATTCCACTCAGCTAAGCTCTTCTCCTCGATGGCAATCAGTGCCTGAACACTAGCCCCAGTGGGTATAATATTTGTCTGCTCTGTCCCAAGGACCACACAAAGGATCTGTTCAGTCCTCAGTGTAAGCTCAGATTCCCCTGCAATGTCTCTCACCCAGTAGCCAAAGCTGCCCGAATTTGTGGTTTCTCCCACGGAGACTACTCACATCACAGCCACAACCCCTCGGTTTTCTTTTTTATTTTCACAGTCCCAGTTCATAACTCCACATATTCACTAGGTTAACCTCCTGTTATTTCTCCCCACCAGAGTCAGCTTTTTCTGTTTGGCTGAGAGTGGGCACAGCCCCGAGCTGGCACAGCTGTAACGTATGTCCATATGATGCCTGCTCTATTGTTTGCTCGCCTTTGTAAGGTGTGTGGAGAGATACGATCATGTCCGTACCAGTCCCTTTTTTTTTCCTCTCCTCTAGTTAGGCTGGGGTACTTTCCCCCAGGGGGCTTCAAGCCTGGCTCCCTCTAGGCACTTCCTGCTGCTTTTCTGCCAGTGTCTCAGGCTACTGAAGTTTCACCTCACCTCCCTTTCCAGTGCTGGTGCGTAGACTCAGCAGGTGGGGTCCCAAGCCGTGGGCTCCCATGCCCTCTATGTAGGTCCATGTGTCCCTCTAATTCCAGAAGAGTTTCCTCCATAGTTTTTCCCTAACTCTTCCCTGAGACTACAGTATATCCACTTTTATTAAACTATCTTTTTCTGGATGATCAGTGAGCTCCCTCCCTTTTCCACCATCTTGGAGTTCTTGAGAGCCAGCTGTTGTGATTTTAACAGCCTTGCAATATGAAATCTGTAATTTTGATGCCTCTGCCTTTGTTTTTCTTGTATAGGATTGCTTTATCTATTCTATGTTTCCATATGAATTTCAGCATAATTTTTCTTGATCTAAGAAAAATTCCATCGGTATTTTGATCTGGATCACTAGAATCCTCAATGCTTTCTGAAGTATGGACATTTTGGTTATATATAATTCTCCCAATGCACAAATACATAATATTTTTCAATTTTTGTGATTTCTTATATTTTTAATGTTTTTAAATTTTTATCATAGAGATCCTGACCTCCTAGGTTAAATTTATTCCAAGGGACTTAATTATTTTTGGATATCATGAATGGGATTGATATTAAAAGTTCTCTCTCAGCCATGGCATTGTCTATGTATACTTAGGCTATTGATTTTTGTGTGTTGTTTTTATTCACAGCAACTTTACCAAACTCTCTTGTGACTTCAAATAATCTCTTAGTGGGGCTTTTGGATCTCCTATATATAGAACCATGTCACCTGCAAACAGAAATAATTTGATTTCCTCCTTTACAATTTGTATCCCCCTTGATTTCTCTTTCTTGCCTAGTGGCTTTGGCTAAAACTTCCAGTACTAGATTAAATAGCAATGGTGAAAGTGCGCAGGCTTGTCTGGTTCCAGACCTTAGTGGAAATGCTTCCAGCCTTTACCCATTCAATAAGATACTGGCTGTACATTTTCAAAAAATGCTTTAGTTATGCTACAGAATGTTCCTTCCCTCCTTTTCAATTATTTTGCATAGCTTGAAAAGTATTGGAATTAGTTCTTATTTAAAAGTCTGGTATAATTCAACAGTGAAGCAATGTGGTCCTGGGCTTTTTGTTGCTTGGAGGGTCTTTATTACTGACTCAGTTTCCATCTTGGTTATTGGTCTGTTTAGGCTTTCTATGTCTTCATGACTCAATTTTGATATGTTGTATGTGTTCAGGAATCTACACATTTCTTCTACATATCCCAACCTGTTGACATACGGCCATTTGTAGTAGTTCCTGATGATTCTTTTATTTCTGTAGTACCCATTGCTACATCTCCTTTTTCATCTCTGATTTTAATAATTTGAGTCTTCTACCTTGGTTGTTTCTATTTAAGTATGACAATTGTGTTTCAATTTTGTTTTTTTTTCAATAAACCAACTCTTCATTTCACTGACTTTTTGTATTTTTGTTTCATTTTGTTTATTTCTTCTCTAATTATAATTTTTTCCTCAATAATTTGTGATTTGGTTTGTTGTTTTTCTATGTTCTTGAGATGCATTGATAGTTCATTTGTTTGATGGCTTTCCAGTTTCTTGATATAGGTACTAATTTCTATAAGCTTCCCTCTTACACTGCTTTTGCTATAGCCCCTAATTTTTGACATGTTGAATTGTCACCTTTTCTCATTTTCAAGATTATTTTATTTCTCTTTAGATTTCTTCTATGACCCATGTTCATTCAGGAGCATGTTGTTCATTCTCCATGTCTTTGCATATATTCTAGAGATTGTAGGTTGTTAATTAACAGCTTCATTTCATTGTTGTCAGAAAAGATGCATGGTATGATTTCAATATTTTTAATTGGCTGTGGCTAGCTTTATGGCCTAGTATTTGGATTATCCTAGAGAAAGTTCCATGCACTGATTTAAAAAATGCATTCTACAAGTGAGTGACGAAATGTTCTGTACAAAGCAGTTAGTTCCATTTGGTCTATAGTGTTTTAAATAGGCACCCTGGCATTGGTGCATATACATTTATTATAGTCACATCGTCCTGTTGAATTGATGCCTTGATCGATACATAATGCCCTATTTGTCTCATTTAACAATTTTTGTGTTAAAGTCTATTTTCTCTGATATTAGAATGCCTACATCTCCTCAAAATTCACATGATAAATCCAACTCCCCAACATCTAAAGATATAACAGGATTTGGAGAAAAGATAAAATGAGATTGAAGGGACTGGATCCTAATCTATCTCTTATTAGCTGAATATAATATTTTGTGACACTAATAAACATATAAATTTCATAGGTACAAAATTTGGATTCTAGCGATTCTTTCCCCCATACCCACCCTCCCACCCGCAAACCTTCCCACTCCTACTCTCTCTCTCATCTCATTCTTCATTAAGATTCATTTTTAATTATCTTAATATACAGAAGATCAACTCTATACTAAGTAAAGATTTCAACAGTTTGCAACCACACAGACACACCAAGTCAAGCTGAGTGAAAAAAGCCAGTTCAAAGGGACAAATATCATATGTTCTCCCTGTTCTGCAACAACTAACTGAGCAACTAAAAGGAAATCTGTAGAAGAGAAACTGACACTATAGGAAGGAATGACTTGATACTTTATACTTTGTGTGTTTGTGTAGGTGCAAAGTGTTGAAATCCTTACTTAGTATATACTAATTTGATCTTCTGTATATAAAGATAATTAAAATGAATCTTAATGAAGAATGGGATGGGAGAGGGAGTGGTAGATGGGATGGTTTGCAGGAAGGAGGATGGTTATGGGGGGAAAACCACTATAATCCAAAAGTTCTGCTTTCAAATTTATATTTATTAAATGAAAGCTTTTGAAGGGAGGAGAGAACATTCACTTTGCTTATGGCCATTTCCAAATACCGATGGAGACTATGGTCACAAGAGGTTTCCAAAACCTTGGCAGCCCAAGAGCCTCGGGTCATCACTGATGTCATAAAAAAGAGTGTTAATTGTTAAAGGAACAACAGCAGTCACTGTGCACTTGCTCTCCATGTAGGACCTTTGTCTCTATTGAATTGTGATATGAGAATGGACTGCAAATTCTCTCCATAAACTGTACTCTACATGTTGTGTTTGTGTGTGGGTACAAAGTGTTGATGTATATGATTAGCATGGAGTTGGTCCTCTGTAAATAAAGTCATACTAAAATGAACCATAATGAAGAAGGAGATGGGAGAAGAAGAGGGAGGATGAAGGGAGCTGGGTGGGGGTGGGAAATGGGAAAAAACCACTATATTCCTAATGTTGTATCTATGTAAAATTATTAAATAAAATTTTAAAAAAATAAGATATAACTCTTCGAAAAGAAAGAAAGAGAGAGAGAGAGAGAGAGAGAAAGAAAGAAAGAAAGAAAGAAAGAAAGAAAGAAAGAAAGAAAGAGGAAGGAAGGAAGGAAGGAAGGAAGGAAGGAAGGAAGGAAGGAAGGGGAAGGAAGAACGGACTTGATCAGCCCTTTTCTCACTGTAGAGGAACAATTACTATTTTATTCTTTTTGGAAAAAAAATCTTAAAATCACTGACACTGGTATAAGATGAACTGAAGCAGAATTTCAGTTACCAGCAGTCAGCATTTCCAGTCAACATTCCACTTTGCTTTCTTTTAACTAAAGAGTCTTTTCATTAACCTTCAGTCTGAATCCATTTCTAACCAAGAAAAAGCCCTGCTCTGACGATTGAGAGACACACCATCAGGCACTTTACTAGTGAGTCTCCAACAACACTTCTCTGAAAACAAATACAACATTGAGCTTGTATACTTTAGGTCATATGGAGATTCCAACCAGCTGAAAGTCTGCTCCACTCTTGCGAAGTTCAGGGGTCAGGATCATTCATGGAGAAGTGCTTTAGCAGGATCAGGCATCAATAACTGCTGTCTCTTAGTCAAATAATTACATCTGTGACTTTTTTTAACCTGTTGGCTGCCAACATCAAAAGAACTGTGGAAACTCCTGCTCTTCTCTTCTGCAGTGCTGGGACCGGGCATACTGAGAAAGTGGGACCAAGACAACACAGCACTAGAGGACGTGGTGAAAGGAAACATTCTCTTCCTCTGAACTTCTCTCCATTGTCATTGTGCTTCACCTTGGAGACAACCTGCTCAGCCTCAATGGGCTTCGATGTGCTCCTGGATAAAGCTGGAGATCTGGGGAGATTTCAGATCCTTCAGATTGCTTTCTTTTTTGTCGCCAATGTTATAACATACACTCATATTCTGTTGGAGAACTTCACTGCAGCCATCCCTGGGCATCGCTGCTGGGTCCCCCTCCTGGACAACCACACCACCTCTGGCAATGACTCTGACATCTTCAGCCAAGACGCCCTCCTGAGAGTCTCCATCCCGCTGGATGCAAATCTGAGGCCAGAGAAGTGCCGTCGCTTCACCCATCCCCAGTGGCAGCTCCTTCATCTGAACAGGACCTTCCCCAATGTAAGTGAGTCAGACACAGAGCCCTGTGTGGATGGCTGGGTGTACGATCAGAGCTCCTTCTCCTCCACCATTGTGACTAAGGTAAGAGTCCTCATTAAACCTCTTTATAGAGAAGTGATGTGAACTGAAGGTGTTTGGATTTGACACAAAGAATGGACTGAGAATTCTATACCAGCTTATTTTATCAAATGAAGAAAGTCTTCATTCCTTCAGCAATTAGCAATTGCTTATCTGTACCACAATATCAAGGGTGCTACTATGGAGGTTAATGAATTGAACAAACTATACCTCAACCTACTACTATATCATGTTACATAGAGAGGATAACCCTAAATGTCAAAAGTAATTGAAGTGCTACTCTCCAAATGTTTTGCTACTTCAGTGCTACTCAGTACTGATTGCAAAACTGAAGCACAGTGCAAGTAAATCAGAACCTATATACATAGGATCCAGCCATCAGTCCTGTTGAGGCTCTTTAGCTGATTTGATGAGTAGACAATACAAATGGCCAACAGATATGTGGGAGAAAAGGTCAATATTACTAGCTCTCACAGATATGAAAATAATATCAAAACCATAATGAGATATCACCTACTCCAGTTAGAATGGATATTATCAAAAAGGCAAAAAGTAACTTTGGCTGCCCTGAATGTGGAAGAAAGGGAACTCTTACACACTATTGCTGGAATGTACATTGGTTCAGCCATTAGGAAAACAGTATAAGACTTCTTCAAAAACTTGAAAGAGAACTGCCATATGACCTAGCAAACTCACCACTGGGTATATATCAGAAAGACATGAAATCATTGTTTCAAAAAGTCATCTCTGTTCCCCCACGGTCATTGCTCTTCATGGTAGCCAGGATTTGACATCAACCAGGTTTCTATCATCACATGAATTAATAAAGAAAATACGGGTGCCCACATTGTAGTTGAGTGGGTTAATATGCTACCTGCAAAGCTGGCATCCAATGTAAGCACTGAGTTGATGCCAAACTGCTCCTCTTTTCTGCTAATGCTCCTGGGAAAGTGGAAGAACATGTGCCAGGTGCTTAGGCCCCTGAGATGGAGTTCCAGATCCTGGTTTTTGCCCCATCTCAGCCCTGGCTATTGCAGCCATTTGTGGAGTGAACCAGTGGATGGGAGTTCTTTCTCTCCGTGTGTGTCTTGCTCTAACTCTCTGTAACTCTGACTTTCAAATATGTAATATATTAATATTTTCCAAAGGAAATACAATTTATACATATTAGATTTCCACTCAGTTATTTAAAATAAATGAAATCCTGTCATTTGCATCAAACTGGATAGAACTGAAAGACATCATGTTAATTGAAATAAGTTAGACACAGGAAGAACAATGTTACATGTTCTTCCTCATATATGGAGCTAAAATAAACCTCAGTATAAGCATAGTTAATTACTATAGGCTGTGAGAGATGGAAGGCACAGAGGAAGCTTGGATTTTAAAAACTGGAAAAAAATTGAGAGTGGCTTATGGATAGTGGCAAATATATATGGTGTTAAAATTACTGAAAGCTTGGAATGGGTTGTATGGGAACTCCTCACATAACAAAAATTATAGGTTTTTTTTTTAAACGTCTAAACTGGGCTGGCGCCACGGCTCAATAGGCTAATCCTCCACCTGCGGCGCCAGCAAACTGGGTTCTAGTCCTGGTCGGGGCGCCGGATTCTGTCCCGGTTGCCCCTCTTCCAGGCCAGCTCTCTGCTGTGGCCCGGGAGTGCAGTGAAGGATGGCCAAGTGCTTGGGCCCTGCACCCACATGGGAGACCAGGAAAAGCACCTGGCTCCTGGCTTCGGATCAGCGTGGTGCACCAGCCTCAGCCCACCGGCGGCAGCGGCCATTGCAAGGTGAACCAACAGCAAAAGGAAGACCTTTCTCTCTGTCTCTCTCTCTCATTGTCCACTCTGCCTGTCAAAAAATAAAAAATAGAAAAAAACTAAACTGAAAAGTTTTAAAAAGAAAAACCAAACATTTTATAATAATTAAGCATAAACTATGGAGTAACATGTTGATGACATGATGAGGGAAAAAACTTGGATTTTCCTAAGTATTTAAATTTTGGTAACTTTAGTTTCTTAAAATGACATTTTATGTGAATTTAATTTTGGTACATCACAAATGTGTTGAACAGTAATACAGTAAAAGGATTTGGAGCTCTAGGTGAAAAATTACTAAAGTCGTGCACACACGTGGTAACAGACTATCAGAAGGGTATGGTGTGAAAGAGGCAGTGGCATTTGAAAGGTTGATATGAGTTTCAGTATTTCTAGAGTGTGGGCAACCAGAGGGAAGTGACTGTAGATGAAATTGGAGAAGAAGGCAGAACCCCATAGCTGGAGCTCATGTGTATCATATGGAGGAGTTTGTGGTCAGGCTCCACCAAAGGGCTGAAGCTCTTCTAACACTCTGCTGTGCTGCTTCCTCTTCCAGTGGGACCTCGTCTGTGAATCTCAGTCACAAAAATCAGTGGTTCAAACCCTGTTCATGAGTGGGTCGCTGCTGGGAAGTCTGATATTTGGCTATCTCTCAGACAGGTAAGTGTCACCTCACTTTATTTGGGGTTGTTGATCACATGATCCACACATTCATGTATTTTAGAAGACTGATAAGCTCACACTGTGCCCTTTATGCTGGGCTACATACTCACCTAATTGTCTGATTTCAGGGAGCTACAATAATAAGCATATTTGCTACATGAACTGGATATTATAACTTGTTATGACAAATCTATTCATTGTGTGCATAACAGGAGACATAAAGAGACATCTAAATAAGATTCAAGCAAGTTTCATGAATGATTTTCAAAACACATTGAAGGGTGTGAGATTTCTGAGTTGGAGTGAGTTCAATACAAGGACAGGTAGAGAATTTGAGGCATGTTCAAAACCACAAGATTGTGAAATAATGTTGTTGGCCTTGGCGATATGAAACACCTGGAACCTGAGAGATCAATGATGGTGGACACTTGTAGACTGCCATCACTTTGTGTCTGCAGCATAGATGCACATGTACAGTGGGTCGTCATTGCTGTAAAATCTCTTGTGAAACAACATGGAGCAGATATGGTGGTAAACTTTACAGCAATAACCTGAGAGCTGATCCTTGTGAAATAGGTACAACATTTAATTATTGCAACAATAAAATGCAAATAATCTTAAGAATTTATGGTGACATGATTTGGTACAAGAAGTTAGAGATTCTGTGTGTCCTGAAACTGCTTCTCCTGAAGGAGGCAACCGTGCCTGTCACTAAGGATGTCTCTCACTAGAACAACCAAGAACTACAGACGCTCATTGCCATCCACTTGTCTTAGTTAAGAGCTATGACCTTTGAGTTTACACAGTTACATATTACATGTACAGAATTAACTTGCCCCTAGCTTTCCATTCTGTCTAGTCCCTTATTCTGTTGTCTTTCCACTACAAACTTTTCTCCAACTCTGCCCTGGGAATGTGGTCCCTCCCCTATTCTTCTGGTATCTTCCTGTGGTCAAAGTCAGCATGTATTTCTCTATTTAACCATTTGAGATCTCTGCCCCTAGTTTTCAAACTCCAACCTCAGTACTACAATTGAAATTGCAGAATGAGTGGGTGAGCAAATGAATGACAGAGTTTAGATAACATCTGAATAAGTTTTCTTCAAGCGTATTTTTATGTTACACTTTTAAGCAGTATAATTTTAAAATATGGCATATTCATCTGAGTTTATTTGTTTTTATTGTTTTCTTTTTTTTAACTTTTATTTAATGAATAAAAAATTTCCAAAGTACAGCTTATGGATTACAATGGCTTCCCCCCCATACCGTCCCTCCCACCCACAACCCTCCTCTTTCCCACTCCCTCTCCCCTTCCATTCACATCAAGATTCATTTTCGATTATCTTAATATACAGAAGATCAGCTTAGTATACATTAAGTAAGGATTTCAACAGTTTGCTCCCACACAGAAACATAAAGTGAAAAATAATAGATGATTTTTTTTAAATGATGATGGAATCAGATCAGACCTATTGTCATGTTTAATCCCAGTGAGAGTCAAGTTGGGAGTTGATAATTTCTTTTTTTTTACAGAGGATCAGTTTAGTATGCATTAAGTAAAGATTTAAACAGTTTGCACCCCCATAGAAACACAAAGTGAAATATATTGTTTGAGTACTCGTTATAGCATTAAATCTCAATGCACAGCACATTAAGGACAGAGATCCTACATGAGGAGTAAGTGCACAGTGACTCCTGTTGTTGACTTTACAAATTGACACTCCTGTCTATGGCATCAGTAATCTCCCTATGCTCCAGTCATGAGTTTCCAAGGCTATGGAAGCCCCTTGAGTTCCCCGATTCTTATCTTGTTTAGACAAGGTCATAGTCAAAGTGGAGGTTCTCTCCTCCCTTCAGAGAAAGGTACCTCCTTCTTTGAAGACCTGTTCTTTCCACTGGGATCTCACTCACAGAGATCTTTTTGCCAGATTGTCTTGGCTTTCCATGCCTGAAATACTCTCATGGGCTTTTCAGCCAGATCAGAATGCCTTTAGGGCTGATTCTGAGGCCAGAGTGCTGTTTAGGACATCCGCCATTCTATGAGTCTGCTGAGTATCTCACTTCCCATGTTGGATCACTCTCCCCTTTATTTATTCTATCGGTTAGTATTAGCAGGTACTTGACTTGTTTATGTGCTCCCTTTGACTCTTAGTCCTTTCATTATGCTCAATTGTGAACTGAAATTGATCACTTGGACTAGTGAGATGGCATTGGTACATGCCACCTTGATGGGATTGAATTGGAATCCCCTGGTATGTTTCTAACTCTACCATTTGGGGCAAATCAGCTTGAGCATGTCCCAAATTATACATCTCTTCCCTCTCTTATTCCCACTCTTATGTTTAACAGGGATCACATTTCAGTTCATTTTCAACACTTAAGAATAACTGTGTATTAATTACAGAATTAAACCAGTCATATTAAGTAGAACAGACACCCTGAACGCGCCCGATCTCGTCTGAGTTTATTTGTTAAGTGTGTTTTCATTACTAAAAGGCTGTTACCAAGTGAGAGAGATCTTCCATTGTGGGTTCATACCCCAAATACCCAAAACAGCCAAGGTTGTACCAGGGTGAAGTCAGGAGCCCAGAAATCTTTCTGGGTCTCCCGTAAGTGCAGCAGTCACCCAAGAACTTGAGCCGTAATTGTCTGCCTTCCAAGATGCATTATCAGAAAGCTGCATGAGAAACAGAATGCCTGGGACTCAAGGTAGCAGTCCTACTTGGAGGGCAGGCATCCCAGCTGACAGCTTAACCATGGCACCGTAATGCCTGTCCCTCAGGCAAATTTGTATAAACAATATGAAAAACAAGCTATCATCACATGCTTCAATATACAGGAAACATTATATAACATAGGATCACATGTTATATTATTCCAATTTTTAAAATAGAAACAAAACAAATTAATATATGGTAGTTTAAGTTGTAAAATTATATAGTTTGTTGGGAGTAGGGGCTAACAGAGTGCACAAAGTGGGATTCTTGTCTAGAACAATGTTCTTTTTGACCAGGGACTGGTTTAGTGAGTACTTTGTTTTTCTGGCTGAAAAGCCTATGAGAGTATTTCAGGCATGGAAAGCCAAGACACTCTGGCAAAAAAAAAAAAAAAAAAAAAACCCTAAATGAACGATCTCTGTGAGTGAGATCCCAGTGGAAAGAACAGGTCTTCAAAGAAGGAGGTACCTTTCTCTGAAGGGAGGAGAGAACCTCCACTTTGACTATGACCTTGTCTAAACAAGATAAGAATCGGGGAACTCAAGGGGCTTCCATAGCCTTGGAAACTCATGACTGGTGCATAGGGAGATTACTGATGCCATAAACAGGAGTGTCAATTGGTAAAGTCAACAACAGGAGTCACTGTGCACTTACTCCTCATGTAGGATCTCTGTCCTTAATGTGCTGTACATTGAGACTTAATGCTATAACGAGTACTCAAACATTATATTTCACTTTGTGTTTCTATGGGGGTGCAAACTGTTGAAATCTTTACTTAATGTATACTAAACTGATCTTCTGTAAAAAAAAAAAAGAAGAAATTATCAATTCCCAACTTGACTCTCACTGGGATTAAACATGACAATAGGTCTGATCTGATTCCATCATCATTGAAAAAATCATCTATTCTTTTTCACTTTATGTTTCTGTGTGGGAGCAAACTGTAGAAATCTTTACTTAATGTATGCTAAACTGATCTTCTGTATATAAAGAGAATCGAAAATGAATCCTCATGTGAATGGAAGTGGAGAGGGAGTGGGAAAGGGGAGGGATGCGGGTGGGAGAGACGATATGGGGGGGGGGGAAGCCATTGTAATCCATAAGCTGTACTTTGGAAATTTATATTCATTAAATAAAAGTTAAAAAAAAAGAAAACGCTTTGTGTTGATAGTTCAGAGACAAAATACAGCTCTCTTGATTTCACTCCTCACTGCTCTAAACACTATATTCAATGCGTACTTTTGTATAACAAACTTTTGGGATAACTTCCCATAATTCATTGCCTTTCATATGGCTTCATATGGAAAAAGTCTTCCTGGTGATTGTTGACTGACAGGAGTCGATAATGGTCTAATATGGACTAGGAGGATTATATCTGTGATTTCTGCTGTTGACAAATATAATTATTCCACTAGCCTTCAGTGCAGTGTTCCAAATGTGAAACATTTATCTTGACTTTGAAGATGTACCATCTTGTGTTAAGTTTTCCATACATTATTTCCTTCCTAAATAATCTTATTTCTTAGGTATGGAAGGAAGGGGGTTTACACATGGTGTCTCCTCCAGACGGCCATCATGGACACCTGTGCCACCTTTGCTCCCACCTTCCTCATCTTCTGCATTCTACGCTTCTTGGCTGGATTTTCTGTCATAATTGTTTTGTCAAACTCTTCCATCCTTGGTAAGTTAACAATTCCAGACTTTCATTGTATCTATGCCTTGAGATGACCTTGAATTTGCCCTTTGATTGAAATAACTGTATATGTTTTTCAGCATCCGAGTGGGCAGTAACCAACTCACAACATATAGGAGTAACACTGTTGTTATGTGCCCACAGCATTGGGCAGATACTCTTGGGAGGATTAGCTTTTGCCATTCGAGACTGGCACACACTGCATCTGACTGCGTCTATACCCTTGTTTGTCCTGTCCTTGCTCTCCAGGTATGTACAACCATGGGGAGGCTACTGTGGGAACAAATGGGAAAATCTTGACATTTAACATGTTTGATACTAGCCTGACACTGAGCCTTGGTCTCTAGTCATAACCATTGGACTACTTGAAATGCAATTTTCAAGGAAAATTTGTAAGGAAGAGAATGGGACTTCACCATGGAGGCTGGGACTTGGTAGGCATCATTGCGGTACACTAGAGAAAGAATTATTATGAAATCATTTTAATAGAAAATAATAAGTACTGAGTCATGAGGCAAAGACATTATTTATGTAACTTTGGAAGGCACTATGTCATGGCGATCCTTTGGTGGTTCTTGTCCATGTGATATTGTACTAAAGACAATGAGTTTCTCTCTGCAAGTGTTTGACACAAGAAGTGTATGCTTTTCCAGCATTAAGGATTGGCATGCATGGGACTCCAAATCCCATTAAGTTGGCAGGTACCAATACCATCTTACTAGGTAAAGTGATCATTTTAATTTCACATCTGATCATAAAGATAGGATTAAGTTTCAAACGGATCACTGAAATAAGACCAAGTGTCTGCTAATAATGATTGATAGACTTAAAAAAGAGAGAACAATCCAACATGGAAAGCAGGACACAAGCAGACTCATAAAATGACAAATTCCCTAAACAGCACTCTGACCTCTGAATCAGATCTTAAGGCATTTGGATCTGTCTAGAAAGCCCATGAGAGCGTTTCAGGCATGGAAAGCCAAGACACTAGCAAAAAAATGACCTACATGAAAGATCTCTGTGAGTGAGATCCCAGTGGAAAGAAGGGGCCATCAAAGAAGGAGGTGCCTTTCTCTGAAGGGAGGAGAGAACTTCCACTTTGCTTATGGCCTTGTCTAAATAATGTCGGCATTTGTGGACTCAAGAGGCTTTTATAGCATTGGCAGCTCATGACAAGAGCCTCGGGTGATTATTGACGTCATAAATAAGAATGTCAGTTGTTAAATCAACAACAGGAGTCACTGTGCACTTGTTCCCCATGTAGGACCTCCATCCTTAGTGTATTGTACTATGAGAATTAACGGTCAAACAAGTCTTCAAACAGTGCTTTATACTTGGTGTGTCTGTGGGGGTGCAAACTGTTGAAATCTTTACTTAGTATGGAGTTGATCTTCTGTATATAAAGATAATTAAAAATGAATCTTAATGAAGAATGGGATGGGAGAGGGAATAGGAGGGGGGATGGTTGGGGGTGGGAGGGCAGGTATGGGTGGAAGAACCACTATAATCCAAAAGCTGTACTTATGAAATTTATATTTATTTAATAAAAGTTTTCTATAAAAAAGAAAAGAATTGGCATGGAGGAAACTTCTAGGAAAATTAAAGAAAAAAAACCTCCAAAAGTTGGGCCCTTAATAAAAGCAAAAAAAATATCAAAAATATAAGAATCACCTTTCAGAAATCTAAGCTAAGGTCTGCACTGATTCAGTGAATCTTTCATTCAAGAAAAATAGCTGAATCCCATTAAGAACAATTTGTTTTGGGGTACTTTAAACATATCCTAATTTTATTTCCTACTCTTCTTGTATGTGTAGTCTTGAAGAAAAAAAAATAATGTCTTATATTCTTGTTGTTAGCAGAACGGCATTTGAGTTATTTCATAGGCTCGTTCACAGTAAGTTGTCATTATTTGACCAGCCTGGTGAGTTGCCTAAGAACTCATTTCACAGACTGCTTGACTCGACGTTGACTTGCCCAACACAGGAAAAAACAACAGCTATTTCACTGGAGTGTCTGAGGCACAAGTCTGGAAGAGAAAGGGAAGTGGCAGAGATGTTGCCAGCATGGAGATTCACAAGAGCCTTATAAAAAGGGAAACTAAGACCATAGCATTCAGGATCCCAACACTCAAGGTTCACTCTGTATCAGAAGGGACACTGACAGGAAGATGATCAGCAGGACTCCTACTCAAGCCACAGAAATCTGAAGGATGTGCTGCTGGAGATACTTATAGGCCTCATAAACTATCTACTGCTGCTTTCCCACACACACTGGCAGGGAGGCAGATTTGAAATGGTGCCTTCAGGCCTGGAACCAGTGCTGTGATATGGGATGCCATCATTTCAGGCAGCAGCTAACCCACTGCTGCATAATTCTGGTGTCACTTTTTTTAATTCCCATATTTTGATTTATAATTATTTCTTTCCTCAGGAGCAATTTCCAGTGCAAATTTAGAAAGAAATTTTGAATTTTAATAAATCAACAACTTATGAAAATATTTTTACTAATAGTACCAATGACCTCCATAGATATTTAAGAAACCAAGAGTACAGGAATTTGGAAACATTTGTTTTTTACATTTACCGATACATTTTTATAAATATACTTAATTAACTAACAAACTAAAATATGTGATGAACATATTTATTGTTCTGCAAACAACAATTCTCAAAGCCAATTGTACTGAATAGGAAGCAATAAAATTGCATCACAGATTTACCTGTATTTTTTTTTTTTTTGCTAAATACTTTTTTTTTGACAGGCAGAGTAGATAGTGAGAGAGAGAGAGAGATAGAGAGAAAGGTCTTTCTTTGCCGTTGGTTCACCCTCCAATGGCCGCCATGGCTGGCGCGCTGTGGCCGGCGCACTGCGCTGATCCGAAGCAAGGAGCCAGGTGCTTCTACTGGTCTCCCATGGGGTGCAGGGCCCAAGCACTTGGGCCATCCTCCACTGCCATCCCGGGCCATGGCAGACAGCTGGCCTGGAAGAGGGGCAACCAGGACAAAATCCGGCACCCCGACCGGGACTAGAACACGGTGTGCCAGCACCACTAGCTGGAGGATTAGCCTATCGATCCGCGGCGCCAGCCACTAAATATTTTTTAATTAGTTTTTTTTTCAAATTTTATTTGATATATAAATTTCCAAAGCACAACTTTTGGATTATATGGTGTCGGGTTATAGATTTAGATCTTTAATCCATGTTGAGTGGATTTTTGTCTAAGGTGTAAGGTAGGGGTCTTGCTTCATGCTTCTGCACATGGAAATTCAGCTTTCCCAGCACCACTTGTTGAATAGACTGTCCCTGCTCCAGGAATTGGTTTTAGATTCTTGATCAAATATAAGTTGGCTGTAGATGTTTGGGTTGATTTCTGGTGTTTCTATTCTGTTCCATTGGACTATCCATCTGTTTCTGTACCAGTACCATGCTGTTTTGATTACAACTGCCCTGTAGTATGTCCTGAAATCTGGTATTGTGATGCCTCCAGCTTTGTTCTTGTTGTACAAGATTGCTTTAGCTATTTGAGGTCTCCTGTGTCTCCATATAAATTTCAGCATCATTTTTTCCAGATGTGAGAAGAATGTCTTTGGGATTTTGATTGGTATTGCATTGAATCTATAAATTGCTTTTGGAAGAATGAACATTTTGATGATATTGATTCTTCCAATCCATGAGCATGGAACATTTTTCCATTTTTTGGTATCCTCTTCTATTTCTTTATGTAAGATTTTGTAATTCTCATCGAAGAGATCTTTAACATCCTGGTTAAGTTTATTCCAAGGCATTGGATTGTTTTTGTGACTATTGTGAATGGGATTGATCTTAGTAGTTTTCTGTCACCCAGGGAATTGTCAATATATACAAAGGCTGTTGATTTTTGTGCACACATGTGCCCTAGCTGAATTGAACGATGAATACATAGAAAACGTAAACAGACCCATAACCAGGGAAGAAATTGAATCAGTAATAAAGTACCTCCCAACAAAGAAAAGCCCAAGACCGGACGGATTCATTGCTGAATTCTACCAGACATTTAAAAAGAATTTATTCCAATTCTTCGCAAACTATGCAGAACAATCGAAAAAGAGGGATCCTTCCAAATTCTTTCTATGAAGCCAGCATCACCTTAATTCCTAAGCCAGAAAAAGGCACAGTATTGAAAGAATATTACAGACCAATTTCCCCGATGAATATAGATGCAAAAATCCTCAATAAAATTCTGGCCAATAGAATGCAACAACACATCAGAAAGATCATCCACCCAGACCAGTTGGGATTGATCCCTGGTATGTAGGGATGGTTCAACGTTTGCAAATAAATCAATGTGATAGACCTCATTAACAAAGTGCAGAAGAAAAACCATATGATTATCTCAATAGATACAGAGAAAGCATTTGATAAAATCCAACACCGTTTCATGATGAAAACTCTAAGCAACTTGGGTATAGAAGAAACATTCCTCAATACAATCAGAGCAATTGATGAAAAACCCACAAACAGCATCCTGTTGAATGGGGAATTTTGGAAGTATTTCCACTGCTATCAGTACTAGACAGGGATGCCCACTCTCACCACTGCTATTCAATATAGTACTGGAAGTTTTAGCCAGAGCCATTAGGCAAAAAAAGAAGTGAAAGGGGTACAAATTGGGAAGGAAGAAGTCAAACTATCCCTCTTTGCAGATGATATGATTCTTTACTTAGGGGATCCAAAGGACTCTACTAAGAGACTACTGGAACTCATAGAAGAGGGTTTTGTTTTTGATCCATTCAGCCAGTCTGGGTCTTTTAACTGGAGAGTTGAGGCCATTAATGTTCAATGTGACTATTGATAAGTAGTAACTTTGCCCTGCCATTTTCCCAAAGATATTTTCTAGTATATGTTTTGAACTTCCTGTGGTCTTTTACTGTGAGGTTTTGTTCCTTTACATTCTTCCGTATGGATAGTCACGTTTCTGTGCTTCTGTGTGTAACACATCTTTAAGCATCTTTTGCAGGGCTGGATGAGTGGTGACAAATTCACCTTCATTCACAAATGAGAGCTTTACAGGAGATAATATTCTGGGCTGACAGTTTTTTTCTCTTAGTTCCTGGGCTATATCTTGCCATTCCCTCCTAGCCTTTAGGGTTTCTGATGAGAAGTCTGCTTTGAGTCTAATTCGAGATCCTCTGAGAGTAATCTGGCATTTATCTCTTGCACATTTGAGAATCTTTTCTTTATGTTTCACTGTGGTGAGTTTGATTACAATGTTTCATGGTGAGGATCTCTTCTTTTCATGTTTGTTGGGAGTTCTGTGTACTTCCAGTACCTGGATGTCTCTCTTTCTCCAAATCCAAGAAGCTTTCTACTAGTATCTCACCTAAAATGCCTTCTTATCCTTCTCTCTCTCCATGCCTTCAGGAACTCCTAGAACCCGAATGTTGGGTTTTTTAATGGTATCCTCGATTCCCAACAATATTTTATTTAGATTTCTAATTTCCTCTTCTTTTCTTTGGCTTGACTGTATACTGTCCTGTGCTCTGTCTTCTAAGTCCGATATTCTCTCTTCTGCCTCACTGATTCTGTTTTTATGCTCAAGTGTGTTTTTATTGTTCAATTGAATTCTTCATTTCATTTTGGTTTCTTTTCAATATCTCAATTTCATGTTCTACTAAATTCCTCATTTCATTTTGATTCCTCCTTAAGATTTCATTTTCACAAGAGATTTTTCTGTCATGTGCTGCATGGATTTCAGTAGTTTATGCATTTGTTTTTGATTACTTCTAAATATTCATATCTTAATTTTTTTAGTTCCATTTCTTGAACTTCTTCTATCTCATCATCTTCATAAACTGTATTGGAATGCCATGTCTTTTGGGAGCATCATGTTGTCTTCCTTGTTCTTGTTTCCTCAGATTTTGCGTTTGTTGTTTGGCATTATGGAGATATTCTTTGGTTTCTTCTTTTTTTCACTGTGGTGGCTTTTCTTGTTATACTATGACTCTAGATTAAGTGTACTGTCTGCTTTTGGTGAATCTCTAGAGGCTTGTGGTAGGTGTGGCCAGAGAGCCTTGTTCAGTTCTCAGGGTTAAGGGTGTGTCTAAGGTGACACACCCAGGTTTGGTGTGATAAATCTCTCTCTCTCTCTCTCTCTCTCTCTCTCTCTGTCTCTCTCTCTCTCTTTTAATCAGAAGGAAAGGAATTCCACTCCGCTGAGCTCTTCTCCTCGATGGCAATCAGTGCCTGAACACTAGCCCCAGTGGGTATAATATTTGTCTGCTCTGTCCCAAGGTCCACACAAAGGATCTGTGCAGTCCTCAATGTAAGCTCAGATTCCCTTGCAATGTCTCTCACTGGATAACCAAAGTCACCCGAATCTGTGGCATCTCCCACTGAGACTACTTACAGCTCAGCCACACCATGAATTCTCCCTCACATCTTCAGTTTTTTTCTTCCACAGTCCTGGTTCATAAGCTCCACATATTCACTTGGTCTTAGTCTCCAGTTATACTCCTCACCAGAGTCAGTTTTGGGTTTTTTTGTTTTTTTGTTTTTGTTTTTGTTTTTGCTCTGCTGAGAGCAGTACAGTCACAAGCTGGCACAGCAGTTACATATGTCCAAAATGGCACCTGCTGTAGTGTCTCACTCACCTTTGTAAGGTGAGTGGAGAGAGAGAATCGTGTCTGTGCTGGACCCTTTTATTTTTTTCTCTCTCCTCTAGTTAGGCTGGTGTACTTTCTCCCATGGGGCTTCAAGCCTCGTTCCCTCTAGGTTCTTCCTGCTGCTTTTCCACCAGTGTCTTGGGCTTCTGCAGTTTCACCTGACCCATCTTTCCAGCACTGAGCGGAGACTCTCGGCAGCTGGGCTCCCGAGCCATGGGCACCCATGCCCTCCACATAGATCCACCAAGTCCCTCTAATTCTGGAACTGTTTCCTCTGCCGTTTTTTCCTTAACTCTTCCCTGAGACTACACCATCTCCACTTTTATTAAACTATCTTTTTCTGGACTATCAGTGAGCTCCCTCCCTATAGTGCCATCTTGGAACCTCTGAGGTTTACCTGTATTATTTGTCCTTAAGTCAAGTTTACACCCTTATTATTTTAATATCTAACAAAATTAAGTATAACTTTTGCTTGACCAGAAAATACAAGCATAATATATGTCAGTGACCCTGAAAACATCTTTAATATATTTCTACAAACAAATTTGAAACAACCTATCAGAGATTTATTTAAATCCTGTGGATCAAAAGGTATTTGGATTAATTTAATAGTTTTAATTTGCATGAACACTGAATTATCTATAAAGTAGTTTTGAATAGTTTGAGAATTAGCAATAGTTCTTCTTTAAAAGTTTGGTAGAATTCAGCAGTGAAGGCTCTGATCCTTGGCTTTTTGTTAAGAGGGGCTTTATTATTGATCCAATCTTCATCATGTTTATTGGTCTATTTAGGTTTTCTCTGTCTTCATGACTCAATTTTGGTAAATTGTATTTGTCCAGAAATAATAGTAACAATAATGCCTGAGATCAAGACTGAATCAATCTCTGTTCTATGTGTCCAGCTTCATCTTAATTCCAAAGCCAGGAAAAGATACAAAAAAGAAAGAGAACTACCAATCCATATCCCTGATGAATGTGGCTGCAAAAATCCTTAACAAACTACTACCCAACTAAAACTCACAATATATCAAAAAAGATTATCCATCCAGACCAAGTAGTATTCATCTGTGATATGCAGCGATGGTTCAATATACGCAAATCAATAATACAGCACATGAACAATTTGAATAAAAACCATATGATTATTTAAACCAACGAAGAGAAGGCAGTTGATAAAACACAGCACCCTCTCATGATAAAAAAAAAAAGTTCTAGCTGCTCCACTTCCAATCCAGCTCTCTGCTATGGCCTGGGAAATCAGTAGAAGATGGCCCAAGTCCTTGGGTCCCTGCACCCTTGTGGGAGATCTGGAAGAAGCTCTTGGCTCCTGGCTACAGATCAGCACAGTTCCAGATTGTGGTCAATTGGGGAGTGAACCAGTGGATGGAAGACTCTCTCTCTCTCTGCCTCTCCTCTCTCTGTATAACTCTGACTTTGAAAAAAAAAAATATATATATATATATCTTTAAAAAAAAAACATGTCCCAAATGCTTGAACCCCTATCCTTAGGAAGACCAGTACAGTGAAGAAGGCACATTGATTAAGCTACACTGCTAGAATTTATGTTAGTATTCTATGGAAGCAGAAAGGAACCTCAAGTTAGGGTTAAGTGACAATTAAGCAATTGAGTGCTAACATATCCTTTGCTGTGTTCTTTCAACAGGAGGCTGGTGGAGTCTGCTCGGTGGCTAATTACCACCAATCAGCTAGTTGAGGCCACCAAGGCACTTAGAAGAGTTGCACACATCAATGGAAAAGAGAGTGCTGGAGAGATCCTGACCCTTGAGGTGATCTGGAAAGGGGAGCTAGGTACTGGGATAAAACCCATGAACTAACAATCACGCTCATCTGGGTTTCTGAGGGAATGCAGGCTAAAAATAGAATTTTGTGAGTGGGGTAATGCATCTCTATCTTGTTTCCCTATGGATTCATAAATTTATAGAGGGGTCACTGAAAAAAAAATTTATCTGTCCTGTTGCTAAGAATTTGAACAGAGATATTGCAATTCATTGGCATACATGCACATAAAATTGGAACATAGATATTGCGATTCCTGGGCGTAAGTGCACATGGTAGTTTGAATCAACAGCTAAATATCCATACCTTGGACATGTAGTAGGAAATATTGAAAAAAATTCATTTCCCACTTTAGTCCCCTTTAGGATAATCAGAGCCTATAAAACAAAAAATCCTGATGTGACTCATCCGTGTGCTTGGTCACTGATTCATATAAAAACATTTATTTACCTACAGTACACCAGCTGGGTAATAGATACTAGTAGATGCATAATTCAGAGTCAATGAAATCAGTAACTTCCATCTTATAATTGGACACAAAATTAATAATTCATTGTGTAGAACAGGTGTTAAAATAAGATTATAGAAGGAAGCTCAAAGATGGTGGAATAGGGAGGGAGCACACTGAAAGTCCGGGAAAAGGCAGTTTAGTAAAAGTGAAAATACTGTAGGTTCAGGGAAGAGTTAGGGAAAAAACAGCAGAGGAAACTCTTCTGGAACTAGGTGGACCTACGTGGAGGGCACGGGTGCCCACGGCTCGGGACCCCAGCCGCCAAATCTATGCCTCAGCGCTGGAAAGGGAGGTGAAGTGAAACCTCAGTAGTCCGAGACACTGGCAGGAAAGAGGAAGGAAGAGCCTAGAGGGAATGAGGCTTAAAGCCCTGTGGGGGAAATTTCAGCAGCCTAACTAGAGAAGAGAAAAACAAAATATATATATATTTATATATATTATATATAATATGTACTATATTATATATTTATATAATATATTTATATTATATTTATATTTTATTTATATAATATTTATATTATATGAATATAATAAATATATTTATAAATAAATGTATATAAATTAAATATATAATATTATATTATAAGATAATATATAATTTTATAATATTATAGTATAATGTGATATATAATACATATAATTTATATTATAAATATATTTATATGTTATGATATATAAATATATACTATATATATTTATAATATAGATTATTATATATTTATATATAAACATATATATTTTATATATATTATATATATATAAAAGGGAACTGTATTATGGAAACGATTCTCTCCTCTCACCATACAAAGGAGAGCAAGACAATAGAGCAGGCGCCATTTTGGACATACGTAAAAGCTGCGCCAGCCATCAGACAAGCAAAAAACCTGACTCTGGTGGGGAGAAAGTACAGGAGGTTAGGACATAAAATCTGTGTAGCTAATGAACTGAGACTGTGAAAAAAAAATCAAACTGTTGAAATCTTTACTTAATGTATACTAAACTGATCTTCTGTAAAAAAAAAAAAAAAAAAAAAAAAAAGAAAAGAAATTTTCAATTCCCAACTTGACTCTCACTGGGATTAAACATGACAATAGGTCTGATCTGATTCCATCATCATTTAAAAAATCATCTATTATTTTTCACTTTATGTTTCTGTGTGGGAGCAAACTGTTGAAATCTTTACTTAATGTATGCTAAACTGATCTTCTGTATATAAAGAGAATTGAAAATGAATCTTGATGTGAATGGAAGGGGAGAGGGAGTGGGAAAGGGGAGGGTTGCTGGTGGGAGGGACGTTATGGGGGGGAAGCCATTGTAATCCATAAGCTGTACTTTGGAAATTTATATTCATTAAAAAAAAGTTAAAAAAAAAAAAAAGGAGTGTGTGAGAGGACTCAAAGAGTACCGGAGACATGAGTACTCTCCGGAGATGCCAAAATCTTGGTAACCTTGGCAACCCGGTGGGAGATTGCAGGGAATTTGAGCTTACACTGAAGACTGCACAGATCCTTTGTGGGGTCCTTGGGACAGAGCAGATGAATATTATACCCACAGGAGCCAGAGCTTAGACACTGACTGCCTTCAACTCTGCTCAGCTGTGCAGATTTACTCCCCTTCTGAATAAAAAAGAGAGAGAGAGAGAGAGATTTACCACGCCAAACATGGGTGTGTCACTTTTGGCGCACCCTTAACCCTGAAGAACCAAACAGAGCTCACTGGCCACACCCATCACAAGCCTCTAAGGCTCCATCAAAAGCAGACAGTCCACTTAATCTACGGTAATAGTATCCTGAGAAAAACCACCATAGCAACAGAAAAAAAAAAAAGAAGATACCAAAGAATATCTCCACAATGCCAAGCAACAAATATAGAAACCGAGGAAATAAGAACAAGGAAGATATTATGATGCCCCCAAATGAACAAGACACCCCAATTCAAGATTATGAAGATGATGAGATAGAAAAAATTCAAGATACGGATTTCAAAAATGTAAGATAAGAACATTTACAAGTTCTCAAAAACAAATTCTTGAACTACAGAAATCCTTAATGGGCAGGATAGAAGATCTCTCTTGTTAAAATGGAATTTTAAGGAGGAATCAAAATGAAATGAAGGATCTAGTAGAACATGAAGTTGTGATAATGAAGAGAAATCAAAATGAAATGAAGAATTCAATAGATCAAATGACAAACGCATAAGAGAGCCTTAAAAACAGAATGAGTGAAGCAGAAGAGAGAATATCGGACTTAAAACACAGAGCACAGGAAAGTATACAGTCAAACCAAAGAAAAGAAGAGGAAATTAGAATCCTAAAAAATAGTGTTGGGAATCTACAGGATACTATTTAAAAACGCAACATTCGGGTTCTAGGAGTTCCTGAAGGCTTGGAGAGAGAGAAAGGATTAGAAGGCCTTTTTAGTGAAATACCAACAGAAAACTTCCTGGGTTTGGAGAAGGACAGAGAAATCCTAGTACAGGAAGCTCATAGAACCCCTAATAAACATGACCAAAAGAAAGCCTCACCATGACACATTGTAATCAAACGGGATACAGTGAAACATAAAGAAAAGATTCTAAAATGTACAAGAGAGAAACATCAGATTATTCTCAGAGGATATCTAATTAGATTCACAGCAGACTTCTCATCAGAAACCCTACAGGCTAGGAGGGAATGGTGAAATATAGCCCAGGTACTAAGAGAAAAAACTGTCAGCCCAGAATATTATATCCTGCAAAGCTCTCATTTGTGAATGAAGGTGAAATAAAGCCCTTTCATAGCAAACAGAAATTAAAAGAATTTGTTGCCACTCGTCCAGTCCTGCAAAAGATGCTTAAAGATGTGTTACACACAGAAAATGAGAAACACAGCCATCAATATGAAAGAAGGTAAAGTAAGAAAACCTCAAAGTAAAAGATCACAAGAAACTCAAAGCATATATTAAAAATATCTTTGGGAAAATGGCAGGGCAAGTCACTACGGTGTATTCAATACATGGTGGTGGGAAAACTGGATTTCCACGTGCAGAAGCATGAAGCAAGACCCTTATGTTACACCTTATACAAAAATCCACTCAATATGGATTAAGGATCTAAAAATATGACCCGACACCATCAAATTATTAGAGAACATTGGAGAAACCATGAAAAATATAGTCACCGGCAGAGACTTCTTGGAAAAGACCCCAGAAGCACAGGCAGTCAAAGCCAAAATTGACAATAGGGATTACATCAAATTGAGAAATTTCTGTACTGCAAAAGAAACAGTCAGGAAATTGAAGAGGCAACCAACAGAATGGGAAAAATATTTGCAAACTATGGAACAGATAAAGGGTTAATAGCCAGAATCTACAAAGAGATCAAGAAATTCCACCAGAACAAAACAGGCAACCGACATAAGAGATGGGCCAAGGACCTCAATAGACATTTTTCAAAGAGGAAATCCAAATGGCCAAAAGGCACAGAAAAAAGTGTTCAGTATCACCAGCAATCAGGAAAGGCAAATCAAAACCACAATGAGGTTTCACCTCACCCTGGTTAGAATGGCTCACATACAGAAATCAACTAACAACAGATGCTGGCGAGGATGTGGGGATAAAGGGACACCAACCCACTTTTGGTGGGAATGCAAACTGGTTAAGCCACTATGGAAGTCAGCTTGGAGATTCCTCAGAAACCTGAAGATAACCCTACCATACAACCCAGCCATCCCACTCCTTAGAATTTACCCAAAAGAAATTAAATTGGCAAACAAAAAATCTGTCTGCACCTTAATGTATATTGCAGCTCAATTCACAATAGCTAAGACCTGGAACCAACCCAAATGCCCATCAACAGTAGACTGGATAAAGAAATTATGGGACATGTACTCTATAGAATACTACACAGCAGTCAAAAACAATGAAATCCGGTCAATTACAACAAAATGGAGGAATCTGGAACACATCATGCTGAGTGAAATAAGCCAGTCCCAAAGGGACAAATATCATATGTTCTCCCTGATTGGTGACAACTAACCAAGCACCCAAAAAGGAAACCTGTTAAAGTGAAATGGACACTATGAGAAACAGTGACTTGATCAGCCCTTGTCCTGACTGTTGATATACAATATAATACTTTATCCCTTTTAGTATTTTTGTCCTACTTAATTCTATTGATTGAACTCTAATTAACACACAATTATTCTTAGGTGTTTAAATTTAACTGAAAACTGATCCCTGTTAAATATAAGAGTGGGAATAAGAGAGGGAGGAGATGTACAATTTAGGACTTGCTAAATTGGACTTGCCCCAAATAGTAGAGTTAGAAACGTGCCAGGGGATTCCAATTCAATCCCATCCCGGTGGCATGTACCAATGCCATCTCACTAGTCCAAGTGATCAATTTCAGTTCACAGTTGATCATAATGATAAAATTAAGAGTCAAAGGGATCACATAAACAAGACTAGTGTCCGCTAATACTATCTGATAGAATTAAGAAGG